TCATATGGGGTGGGGCTTAGTGTCATTATAAAAGGACAATGTTAAAGTAGCAACAAATCATTTATATCCTAGGCCAACTGAACACAAGATACACCAGAGGCAGAAAGAAAATCATATTACATTGTTAACTGTGGTTGCCTCTGGGTGCCAGTATTGTAGAGAATTCATTTTCTTCTTTACATTTTTATGGAACCTGCCAATTTTTCCACTATAAGCATTTGTAATTAGAAAAACAAAAGCTTGAATAAAGAACATTTTATCTTTCCTTCCCCTTCAAGGTTCAGAGGAAGTCTCTGCACTAAGGCCTCTCTTACAGTAACTCTCAGGGGCAGTACCTCCTGGCTTCTGGTCCATGGGCCCTCTCTGACAGCTCTTTCAGGACACAGGACTCATCTTCTACTGACGCTCCCTTCCCCTCACTCTGCTTGTCAGAGCTCCTTCACAGAACACGCCTGGCCTGCCCCCACCCTGGGGCTTTCCTACTGTTTCTTAGGCCAGTAACCCCTCCTCAGAACCTCTAGAAAGCTTCTGGGTGTCTGTCTATGGCCTTCAGTTGTGACTCAAATGTCACTTCTCAGAAACCCTGACCAAGCTATTTAAAATTGTGCACCTTCCCAGCATTCGTATCTCCTTCCAGCTTTGTTTCTCCTTACAACATAGCTCGTCTATCTCCTTACACTGGTATGTAAGCCTTATGAGGGGAAGGGGTTTGTCTATTTTGTTCTCTGCTGTAATCTCATTACCTATATGCATGCCTGGTACATTGAAGATGCTCAATAAATATTTGTTGAATAAGCAAATACATTTTATAATAACATTTTACCATATAGCAGATACTGTGGTAGGTGCTTAAGTGTTGTGAGGTAGGTAAGGTAGCATCTTTATTTTAAAAATGAGAAAACCACAGCTCAGAAGACTTAGGCAACTCAGCTGATGCCACACTGCTGTCATATGGCAGAGAAGGGGACTAGAGTACAGATCTGTCAGCTCCAGTGGCCAGGAGCTTTCCATTTCCAGAGTCTCCTCTATCTTTGTGGTTTAGGTACATAGCTGTCCCTTCTGTCCTTCAGTGTTTGATATCAGCAGGTCTCCTGAGTCTCTTAGGCTGAGGCTGCTTTTTCCTTGTACTACACAGAGCACAGGGCCACTGCAGCAGGTCTGGGAGATGTCTCAGAGGTTTCATTCCTCAACGGGGGGCTCCTCTCCCAATTAGGGTCCCAAGAAATAGAGAAACCAACGTGCCCCTATCTTCAGCCTTGGAGCTCTAAGCTATGAGTAATGCCAGAGGTTCTCTTTGCTCCCCTCTCAGCTCCATGTTCCAACAGGTGGCTGGTTGCTTCCTAAGTACCCTCTGAGAACCAGCAGGGTGGAATACTGGTATGAACCCAGAAGATTTAAATTCACATTCTGGGTCTCCCACTCACTAAATTAGGTCATGAGTTTTGTCAAGTTACTTAACTTGTACACTGAAAGAATGGAAGGAATTACTCTTTCCTTGGGGTTTCCTTATAGTATCTTGAAGTTGGCAATGTTGAACCTGCCCCATAGGGCTGCTGTGCAGAAGCATAAGACAGTGGTCACCATACTTAGACCATGCCTGGTACATAGGCTTAATAAATGCTGGCTGCTACTGTTAGCGGTCATGACTGGCTGGGGAATTGGGCAGAGTCTGACATCAGCTGATAGGATGCTGTGTGTGGTGTGGATTATAACTGACCCCTAATCATCCACTAGAGTTTTCCCTATATCTTCAGTGCTCAGACTGAATTTCCTTGTTCAAGGTCACATAGCAGACTTTTAAAAGGCCTTGATTAGAAGGCTTTTCAGAATATCTACCCTCCTTAGACTGTACACTTTCTGCTGGGAGGTAGTTGTTGTCATCTCTGCAGGGCTGTACAATTTGAGGAATAATTTGCACAAGTATCAGTTGGCACCATCACCAAACCATGAAGCATAATTGCCTCAAGTGGAAACTGTGATTGAGCCTGTGAATTGAGGCCTGATTTGCAGGAACCGCAAATGAGCTGCCACCTCCAGAGCACAATGTGCCTGCTGGACATCGGGGACTGTAATCAACCTGAGCCTGTTTCCAAACACCCGTTCTCCAAGTTCCCACAGGTCAGAAGTTCTGACTCTGGTGAGTGTCAAGATCCCTGCAGAGTCTCTGGCTGCACTGAGACCTTCCCATTGTCCTAGACATGATTCACAGTTTTCAGGGGAATTCTTTCACTGGCTTTGCTTTCTAATTGTACTATAATAAGGATGATTTGGAGTAATCCATCTGCCATCACTCCCTCAACTAAATCCTCCCCACCCCCAACACACACACACACACGTTTCACCCAGGAAGATTTAGTTCTGTCTGTGTCTGAGGGGAAGGAGATGGGATAGAGGCCTTCCTTCTCCTTCATGTGAATGACCATAAGCAACAAGAGAATTCATTACTTGTCCTTACCACGGCCAATGTCTGCTGGGGAGTGGACACAGTCCACAGCCCAGAGGCCACACTCTTCGTACTTCTCAGAAGTTGATGATGGCATCTGAGATGGGAGGTGTTTCGTCCTGAGGCAGGGGCATGTGTTCTGCCAGTCCTTTGTACCATCTGCAAACAACCCTGGGAATCATATTTGCAGACCCACAAATGTTAGATTATGCCATGGTATAAAAGACTAACTTGAGGCTTAGTAGAGAATGCAGACTAAAGATTGAGGAAACCTGGCCTATAAGGGCCAAACATGCTAAATTTGAGAAAAAATACACCTTCTACATATACATGTAGTCAGCACTCAACACGGGGGAAGAGTACCCAGAGCTAGGAACAACATTCACACATAATTCATCAATTTTAGCCTCATTTTTATCCTGTTGAAGGTCAGCATCTTGTCATAATTACCTTCCCTATAGCCCTTATGTGACATAGAAGTGTCTAAAGAAGTTGAGAGACAGATGACCCAAGTGTGGAAGGAGTCTCAAGAAGAATGAAATGTAAAACAGTGAACTGAGGGCTTTTGACTCACAATTCAGCTTCAATTCTTTTTCTGTCATAGACTATGGGGAAGACTCTTATAGCTTCTAAGCTTTATCTAAAATGGAACAAGTGATATCTACCTATAAGACTGTTACACTAGGGGTGGCACTGTGGCTCAAAGGAGGAGAGGGATGTCCCCATATTCCAGAGGTGGCAGGTTCAAACCCAGCCCTGGCCAAACACTGCAAAACAAAAGACTGTTACACTAAATTACTGAAACATGTAAAGCATTAAAGCTGGCTCATCTTTGGTATTGAATAAATGGCAAATATTACTATCATTAGTATCTGTAAAATAGACATATTTAGTAATGTCTACTTTGAAATGTGATTGTGAAAAGTAGAAAAAAATGTTTTTGGCCTATAGAATGTTTTAATAAATAATACTGTTGTTTGTCCTGTCTTTGCCATGTGCACACATTTGATCTTAAGCAAAGCCTCTCTGTCATCAGTAAAATGGGGAGTACTTTTCTATCTCATTCTTTTAATTAATTATTTTTTTGAGACAGAGCCTCAAGCTATTGCCCTGGGTAGAGTGCCATGGCATCACAGCTTACAGCAACCTCAAACTCCTGGGCTTAAGCGATTCTCTTGCCTTAGCCTCCCAAGTAGCTGGGACTACAGGCGCCTGCCACAATGCCTATTTTTTGGTTGTAGTTGTCATTGTTGTTTGGCAGGCCCCAGGCTGGATTCGAACCAGCCAGCTCTGGTGTATGTGGCTGGCACCTTAGCCGCTTGAGCTATAGGCACCATCTTCTACCTCATTCTTATGAGACTGCAGTGGCAACTGGAGATAATCACACATGCCTCACTTTTTCCTTGGAGTTGTGATAACTAAAATTGAAGCCCAGGAATGGAGAACAATGTGCTAGAATGAAAAACAATGGTTTGAGGGTCAAGGGATTTGGGTTCTAGTCTCGATACTATCAACCAAACAGGCAAATCATGAATGTGAGAAATTATCATTATTGCTCCTTTAAGGCAAAGCCAGTCTTCTCATTTTAATAACTTTGGCACCTAGTAGAGTTGTTGACACGTAATGAACACTCACTATTTTTGCTTGTTTAATTAATTATAAACCCAGGGCGGTTTGTTACATTGAGTGCACGAGAATGGTTGACTAGTAGCATTTTGGCCCTCTCAGTTTCTGTTCTCTGAACTCCTACAATGTTCCCTCTTCTACAAAAGCCCTCAGAGATGAAAGAGCATAACAGTTTGGAATATTATATAGTATGGTTGAAGCATACTATGTCTCCAGCTCCCAAGGAGTTCTACTTCAGGCTGTCTCTCCTGGCAACAGGAAGCCCAGTGCCCTCATCCAAGTTTCTACCTGCTATGTCCCATTTGGAGAACTGTAAGAGATCCCTCATTCTTTTTTTTTTTTGAGACAGAGCCTCAAGCTGTCCCCTGGGTAGAGTGCCGTGGCATTACAGCTCACAGCAACCTCCAACTCCTGGGCCCAAGCGAGTCTCCTGCCTCCGCCTCCCAAGTAGCTGGGACCACAGGCGCCCGCCACAACGCCCGGCTATTTTTTGGTTGCAGCCGTCATTGTTGTTTGGCGGGTCCGGGCTGGGGATTCGAACCCGTCACCTTAGGTGTACGTGGCTGGCGCCTTAGCCGGTTGAGCTATAGGCGCCGAGCCGAGATCCCTCATTCTTACTACCCATGAAGAGTCATCCATAAGCAGCTCTGGCTTCTGCACTGCCTACCATCTTCATAGAATAATAGAGAACTTAGAAGAGTGGTTAGAGGTCCCTTTGTAGCCTTCAACTTGCTGCACTGTAATTTCTGATTTACTTCCTCTCCAATTATGAAAAAGTAGGACCTTTATCTTCTTCAGGATTCTATGTCCAAAACAGGGCATCACAAAAAACAAGAGGCTCAACAAATCTTTAATTTATTAAGTGTATCAGGGTATGCTGCTTATTTACCACATTTTAATTTTTCTATAGATACTAAGATAGCTAAGCAAATAGAGGTACATGTCAGTCTTTTTTAATGGCTAAAAAGTTGGGAGACTAGATAGTAATCACCTGGTGTTTTTCCTGGTACCAGATCATCATACTGCTGAGGTCCTTCAAACAATGCTGCATAATCCGTTCAAAACGACAGAATAGTTTTTCTATACATTTTGCAAAACTCTACAACAAAATCCTACAGAACAAAGTAGACCCATCTCTTATGAATATTTTAACAGTATATTAAACAAAAACGTAACAAGATATAAAACCTATATCCTTAAAGTTACACCATTTCTACAAAAATAATGACCCTCACCCTACCTATATGACTTTTGATCGAAGACAGTAGCTTCCATAACTCTGGGTCCTTGGGGCCACTTTTTTACCAACCAGCAGCGAACACTGGCCCTCACCCTAGCTCTCATCCTGGCCTCAGCTCCAGCCCTGTCTGCCAGGGCTCACTATACTGTGCTGGCCTGTGCTGGGGTTCTTTCTTATGGAGTTTAGCCACGAACCCCAGAACTTCCATCTTACTGATTTCAGGTTGCTTCAGGGACCCCAAGAGAATTCATACTCTGGTGAATATGAATATTCTGTGTGGCAGCCGCCTGTAATTGAAGTATCACTGCTGAACAAAATCTTCATAATAAACCTCTTCGGGTCCCCAAAAAGGAAGTGATACTTTGAGGGACGCACCCCCAACCGACGGAGCATATCCCAGACCTGGGCCTCCCTGGCGCTACTACCCTTTATGTAGATAAGGCCCAAGATCAGCATTAAGAGACCAAATCTGGGGCCATCTCCTCCCAGGTCCTCCTCCTCATGAGGTTTTAGTCCGTTCATCAGGATGTAAGTGTGGTGCTTGCAGTCAAACTGTTTCAGCAGGAAACCAAAGACATACCGCAGATGTTCTGCGGCCCTTGCGATCATCTCCGGGAACAGATCCTTCGAGTCTCCAATGTCACATTTTACCATCCCGGAGCGTGTGATGGGACTTGTCTCTCACCAGCAGGAACTGCACCAACTCCGCCACGGTCTGATTCAGAGGCGCGCTGCCGTGCCAAAACTCTGGCTACCAAGACCCTCGCTCCTTTCCGACAGATGTTGGGCACCGCGGATCCCTTCTCCCCTTCTCCCTCACCGCGCCACGTCCTCCTTGGGGTTGTCCCGCAGGACGCGACTCGACTCGGGGCCTCCACCCGCGAGGCGGTCCGGGCCTGGGGCTCAGCAGCATGGCCGCCTTCCTTCTCCCCCTTGGCCTGAGGGAGGGGGAGACCCCCGCTCTCGGGTTTCCGCAACATGTTTTCGGGCCGGCAGGTGCAGAGCGCGTACCCTGGGCGAGGGATGTGAAAGCCACCGCGTAAACCCTGGAGAAGGGGCGGGACGGCAGCAGAGCGGCCTCTGTGGCTACCGGCCGGCACCGCACACAAGTCGGAAGCGGGGCCGCATCGCCGCGGGCGGCGAAGACCCGCCGGGGGCCGCCGCGCAGCCTCACTCGGCGCCCGTGCGCCGGCCACTTCCGGCCCCCGCAGCCAAGATGGCGACCCCGGCGGGGCGCGGGGCCCCTTCTCTGTCGGCTCTTTCTGGGTGGGGGGCGTGCTGGGCTTCAGTTAGTGGAAGCGGCTGCGAGGGGGTGTGCGCCCTGTGCAGCCCGAAAAGCTGGGGCGGGGAGAGCGGAGGAATGTTAACTAGGGCTTTCCCGTCCAACGCATACCGAGTGGAGAATGTTTCTGTGTACAAGGAAAGGAGGAGGGATGGCATTCTAGACACGTTTTTTCAGCAAGTGCCTGTTTATAAGTGTGTCTATCTCTGATTTTGAATGCTTTACTGTGGCTCAAGTGCAGAGTGCATGGATGTGAAGCCTGGAAGATAAGGCTGCATAGGCCAATCAGTGAAAGGCCTAGAATAGGATGCTAGGGAGATTGAAATTTATTCTGGATGCAATGGGAAAATCCTACAGAAGGATTTAAGCAAGGGAGTATCTGGGCCAAATCTGTGTCTTCACGTCCTGCCTGGTGGCAGTGTGGAGGATGGATTAGAGTTGGGCCTCCCCAAAGCTGGAATCCAATTTGGAGAATTGCTATTGTGTAGAACAGGAACTAGGACCTGGCCTATTCACTGGATTATATCCCCAGTGCCTAGAGCGGTGACTGGCAGACACTCGATAAGTATTGTTCAATGGATGATTGTGATGAGTAAGTCAGCACAGCAGATTCTACGGGGATAAAAGGAAAATGATACGTTGAGGAAATACAGTTAGCAGGAATGGTGATTGGTTGGCGGAAAGGGAAATTTTTTTTGCCCTATTCAAACTTAATTACTTTCAGGTTTTTTGTTTTTCTTTTTACACAATTTAAACTTTCTCCCAATTCTTGCCTCTTCTTTCCTTTCATCCTTCTCCTCTCTACTTGCCTGCCTGCCTCCTTGCCTGCCTTTCTTGTCTGAAATGCCCTATCACCTCCATCTCTCCAAATCCTAGCTACTGTTCAGGGCCCAGCTTAAACATAATCTTTTCAAAGCCTTCCTTAGCTACTATGCATGGAAATTATTTACTATCATTTCTGGATCATCATAGTAATTTATATTTAACATCCATATGTATAAGCCTTATGTGCTAGGCTCTAAATACTTTTCAAATATTAGTGCATTTGATTCTTGACTAAGGTAAGGCCTACTACCATCACCCCCCATTTTATAAATGGTTGTGTCTTTATTATGGTGTAATTTGCTGTTTACTAGCTATGTAGTCTTGGATAAGCTACCTAAACCCCTGTCCTTCAGTTGCCTTATCAATAAAATGGATAGTAACAGCATTGTGAAGGTTATGTAATGAATGTAAGCATTTACATTCAATGCAATACAATACCTGGCATATACTGAGTATTCAATAAATGTGAGCTACTTTTTTTTTTGGAGACAGAGTCTAACTTTGTAGCACTCAGTAGAGTGCCATGGCATCACAGCCCACAGCAATGTCAAATTGCTGGATTCAAGCTATCTTCTTCCCTCAGCTCCCCAAGTAGCTGGAACTACAGGCACCTGCCACAATGCCTGCCTAGTTTTACAGTTTTTTGGCTGGGACTGGGTTTGAACCCGCCACCTCCGGCATATGGGGCTGGCGCCTTACTCCTTTGAGCCACAGGCGCCGCCCGCCTGGCTAGTTTTAGAGATGAGGTCTGGCTCTGGCTCAGGCTGATCTCCAACTCGGGAGCTCAAGCAATCCACCCGCTTCGGTGTCCCAGAGTGCTAGGATTACAGGTATGTGCCACCGCACACAATAATGTTAGCTACTTTTGCATATTTTTTAATGTGCTTATACTGTGACCCTGCTAGGTAAGTGATATCCCCATTTTACAGGTGAGGTAATACACATGGGGGTTAAGTAACTTCCCAGCATCAGACAGTTGGAATTTGAACCAATGTAATGTGACTTCAGAGACCTATTCTTAACCACTACATTAATGGATGTTAATTATTATTTACCTTACGTTGCTTTGTATTTTAATCATTTTTATGCTTATGGTATTCCCTTCTCAAAACACACATCCTAAGAGCTAAGACTGTATCTTTCACTCTTTTGAAGACCCTTTCATAGTGCTCAATATGTAGTAGTCAATGACTAAATGATGGAGGCTTTGCTTTTTCCCTTAAGAAATAACTTTAAGTGAATATCACAGACTTCTCTAAATCTAAATGTGAAATGTTCCTTTTAAAAACTTTTGAAAATGTATACTCATTTATATTACATGACTTAACAAAACACTGTAAGTGTATAAATGAAGCAGGAGGATGTATATCTATTATGGTCTAGCTTGAGGCTATTATTAGTTTCCATTGGGCCAAACATTTTATGTACAATGTAATGTAGCCCTCACAAATCCTTATGAGGAAAGTATTATTATTATACAAACGAAAAAACAGTTATAGGTTAAATCATCTGCCCTGAACCACCCATTTGTTAATGCTAGACTAGAAATGGGAACCCAGATATGCCTCCTCTGAAGCTTGTAGTCATGACCAGCATGCTGGACTGCCTGTTTATCTGTTTCTTCTTAAAGTAGAGAGAGCCTGCTTAACAGGAGAGTGCTACAGAAAAAGTATTTCATTTACATATTTTCCTCATTGCAAGCATTGCTGGGGAGATATGCAAGAGATATATTGGATGGAAAGAATTTTGAGGGACAAATCAACAGCAGTAGGGCTGAATGTTAACAACTGAATGAGTAACATAATACTACTCAAGAAAAAAGAAGGAACAAGCTACTGACACAACATGGAGGACACTGAGTGAAAGAAGAAACATACAAAAGGCCATCCATACAATATGATTCCATTTGTCGGCTGTGGAAGGCAGGTTAAACTCATCTATGGTGATAGAAATTAGGGCAATGGGGACTCC